TTATTATTATATATTTTTTTATATTTTTATTAGATTCTTCTATTTTTGAAGAATTGATACTCCAAATTTTAAATGATTTGGATCTGTAGAAAAAAAATAAAAATTCAAATATAAAATGAGGTCGTGACCGTCTGATCGGTCTAGATTCAATTTGGACCATTGACTGACACTGCAGCTATAAGCCCGTGGGTTGACAGGATATTTTCCCAAATATAAAAAAGAGCGAGAATTTCCCAGCCACACCAAAGTTTTTCGAAGAAGAATAATCGTGGATGAGGAGTTTGCATTTTCCTTAACTAGATGTTGTGGGGTGTGAGAGGGAGAAGAATTACCAAAAAATAAAAAATAAAAAAAAACGGAGAGAGAGAGATTAACATACAGTTATCTCTGCTGTGAGAGAGTCATAACCAGAGTCTGCTGAGGCGAAGCTGACCCCAGTCAACAAGTCCTTAGCAGTCAGTGTGGGGTCTAAGTACGCTGGAATATACTCCTTAACCCCGAATGCAGAAGCTGCTCACATCCATTTCACCGCCTCATGTTAGAGAGAGAGACAGAGGGACGTACAGCTTTTTCGTAAATGACAAATAAAAACAAGGAAACCGTTGTTGAAAAAACAAAGACTTGCGTTAAGACAAGCTGAGGTCCCCAACACACGTGGACAGACTCGGTTTTAATATTAGAAACCGTATAGACTCGGCCAACTCCGTATGTTTGGTTCTATATTTTTTTTGGGTAATTAAGAAGGAAAACAGGCCCCTACTCGTTTTGTTTTATGGATTAGGGAAGAGTTAATTACGTACATCCCTGATATACGTAGGGAAAAATACAGCAGTCTAAGGTCAATTTTGGATCGGTTCTTATTTTTTGAAAAAATAACAGTCCGAGAATGAGAACCTCGGATCCCTCGTTATAGTTTGAAAAAAAAGCAATATTCTGCTTAACCATAAATTCTTTAGTTTTGAACCTGCCATGAAAAACAAGCCAAGCTATGAAGGAGTGCTTGGGAACATGCCCTTTAAACCAGATCAAAGAATACCATGTGACTGGGCTAGGAAATGATTTCCCTTTGCCTCGTCAACCCGAGTCCAGGAAAAGCAGATAGGGTAGGGTGAACAGCAGTGCCAGAATGTTAACCTCCGACCCCCCCTTTTGTTCTCCCCCCATTAACGTGCCTGTATTTTATGCAAATTGTTTACATCAGGTCATTCCTCTGTCATTTTGAAGGAAAAAATATTTTCTTTTGATGCGGAAGAAAGAGAATGCCTCTTTCGTTTTGAGTGGGAACAGAATTGTGGAGGGAAGAGCAGTCCGAGGTTAATATTACTTTTTTTCTTCGAATGATAATGAGCGGTTCGAAGTCGATCAATCTAAGGATTATAATTTTGGACCACCCCTACTAAAGAAAAAACAAAAAAAAAAGAAAATTAAAATGCGGTTCGAGGATTCCTCGAACCAATTGATAATTTTGTTAAAAAAAAAAAATTGTATCAAGGTATGGGGGTGTTACCACCTCGACCCAGCCCCTTTCCCATACTTGGCATCCTAGCAAGGCAAAATAACTCGACAGTCCGAGTTGAAATCACGAAGTTTTCCACCACCGCAAGAAACAACGTTGTTGATGATTGATGCAGTCTTTCATTGAAAACCTTTACCCAACTGAACTGATGCATGTCAATTAAAGGAGAAGAAGTTTTCTGGCGAGGTTTTACCTAGCATATCAGCGACGAGCTTGCCATTTGTGAATCGTCCCGTAGGTCTATGCTGCGCAAAGTCTCGACCATACGGTGGAAAATTCGCCTTAATCACAGTATTTATGTAATTATTGTTGCCGGGATCAGCAGTCGAGTCCCCAAATACAAAGATTGCCGTCGCTGACGAGCCATTATACGTTCTTTGCAAAGGCCATGCTGAAGAGGCTGGTAGCCAGAAGTGAAGAATGAAGCTCAGAGTTAAAGAGAAGAAGAGACTAGCTGTGTGTGGCATCTCCATACCACTCTAAAGCTGATTTTCTTTTGTTCTTTCTTCTTCTTATTTCCCTTTCAGAGTACAGTTCAGTTGTACATTCGAACTCGTGTGATCGCCGTCCCCTTGAGCTCAAAGGCCAAATCCTCCCTTTCAGGGTACAGTTCAGTTGTATGACTCGAACTCGGGTGATCGCCGTCACCTTGAGCTCGAATGCCAAATCCTCAGTCTGATGGCCTGGCCTAAATACATGTAATTTATAGGAAGACATAGGAGCTTTCACCGTGAAAGTTGTATTTCACTTTTTTGCAGTGAGATATCACTTTCTGCAATCACTTTGTTTTAAATATTGTACCATGTGGTGGAGCATCATAACATCTGGAAAATATGATCTCTTATTTAAATTTAAGCTTCATGGGGACACAGACCCTTTGCACTTTTATTTTTCTTACCCACATTGGCCCTTTTTGTGTCAGGAATCTCAAGTTTCTACTCTTCAAGGTTTCACCCTCTCCCCAGTTACAGATTACCAACAAATAAGCCAAAAGATATTATGATCCTGTGGGAGTATAATTTCCATTTACTGGCTCGGGTAGACCACCAAGAATTACTTTTAGGACTCCAAGTTTTGGGGATGTAACCTCCTCACACATAGATTCGATAAGAAAAATTCCTAATTATACTCTCTATGCATTTGAAAAAAATAATGTCGAGATTGAATAGAGACCATTCAATTTTTAAGTGGTGGGATCTAAGTGCTAGAAAACTCAAACAACAATGTTTCTTTTTCTATTTTTAGAGTAATCACCTAGTAATTCTTAAATGGTTCCCAAAATTGCAAAATGAAAAAATCCTCCTAAGTAAGTCTATTGACGTAGAGAGTAAAAATAAATTATGCTCCCCAGAGAGCATAGTGTACCCGCTCATAAATAAACCGTACTAACAACACTTGTACTTAAACGAAAAGAGAAATAAAACGGGATCCTGTGCTTGATTAATATTTGATAATTAGCGGAGGAAATAGATTTTCAGACTATCATCAAATTCTTGATGCCGAATCTATGATTGGATTTTGCAATGTGGTTGTACTTTATAATGTAAAGCCTAACCGTACACTATTGCACCCAAACGAAAAACCGACGTTATACAGGTCATCATCAAGAAGCTCCAGAGCCTTTCGGCATTCATAAAGAAGTTTTGGGTAGCCCAGTAATTTTCTCAAGAACTTCATTCCAAAGATACACGGATAGTGCTTCTATCATGTTCAAAATTGAGAAGTTATACCACATCTGAACTCAACTTTCATTTAAGAAAAACTTCATATGCCTTCATTTATTTTTATAATACCCAACCTATTCACTATGACCACTTTTATACTATATTACTTGGCCCCTTTTTGCTTTGCCCCCTTACTTCCCTGCTTATTTATGGAGCACCTACAAGGAAAATTGGTGGTCAGCAAATAGGAGGGCATCTTCTACTTTTTCAAAAAAAAAAAAACAGAAAAATGAAGTAATTATGGTAAATCGGGACCTATCTTCCTTTTGCAAATTTGGAATGAGGACCAGTTGATCCAAAAATGAAAAGAGGGCGTATAGCATCATATGTTCCTGTAGGAGCATACTGTACAACTACTTCCTTTGGCAAAATAATTACTTGAGAGGATTTCTTAGATCTGAAATCTTGGGATCCATCTAAATATCACTAGATGACTTTTTTCCAATATAAAAAAAATTGGATTGTGAGTTTTTGAATATCTAAATCTTGCCCTGCAAAAATTGTAGGGGTCCTTTTCGACCTTGGGATGTCATTCTTTTTAGGTTCATAGAGATTGCGAGTTAATTCTTTCCTTCTTTGAGGTTAGTCATTAGGTTCTAGAGATTACATCTTCGAGATTTGGGATCCAAAAAAAAAAACTCCTTAACAAGAGTTTTGTCCCTAAGAGCAAATGGACTAGTTAGAGCATAAATCTTTTCAGAAAAAAAGGAGGAGCTTAAATTAGAATTTTTTTTTGTATGGTTATGACATTTGATGTACTCAAGCGCCTTTACTATGAAATAGTAGGGCTATTTTAAAAACTACAAAGGAGGTACAAGAGACCATACGCGGACGTTGCTTTGAGGATTTAGCCAAAACAAGATCTTATGTATAATATTCATATATTACTTAAAGAAAAAAATAGAAAGGTAACTAGAGTGGGAATTTGGAAGTGTCCAGAAAATGGGTGGTTGAAATTGAACGTTGATGGAAGTTCACTAGGTAACCCTCGATCTTTGGAGATAGGAGGCATAGACTGATGCTGAAATATTACGGGGCAGTATGGAGGATTACAACAAATGAGGCAGAGTTGAAAGTTGTGATGCAATGAGTTAAATTGGTTAAGAGGTTTAATAAACCAGTTATGATAGAGGGGGACTCAATGAATGTAATAAAATGGTAAATGAGGCAAAGTTGAAAGTTGTGTTGCAATGAGTTAAATTGGTTAAGAGGTTTAATAAACCAGTTATGATAGAGGGGTACTCAATGCATGCAATGAAATGGCTTAAAAATGAGATGGAATATCCCTGTACGAACTGGTTAGGGAAACAATGGATACAAGTAGTAGTATGGTGGTGATGTTTGGACATGTATATAGGGAATGGGGAATGTAATAAGGAAGCTGATGGTTTGGTAAGGGTGCGTTTTTCGGTTGAATCTCTTATATTTGTTTGAATAAGTTTGATCTAGATGTAGTTTTATTTTTTGAGTTTTATTTGTTTTTTTTCTTTGTAAGGGTCTGTTTACTCAAAGCTGTGGTAATTGGTGTTGAATGAGTAATGAAATGTCATTGTTTCTCAACAACAAAAAAAAAAAACAAAAAAGGAGAAAAACACAAAAAAAAAGAAAAGGGAAAAAAAAAAGAAAACGAAAGAAAGAAGAACAGGTACAAGATATCATAGTCTCGCTTATTTGACATCAGCTTAACACTGGCTTATTTGACATCAGGAACATATCCCATACATTGTTTTAAAATCGTCGGTCCAAACCAGAATGGCCTAAGAGCCCAGATAAATTGGGGAATGAGAGATATAACATTTGAGACGACCAAAAATCGTCGCATTGTCTTTATTTTTATGTTTGTATTTTTTTAGGGATTGTATATAATGAGACCATTCACCTCTGATACGAGGTGGTCACAATTGTTTACAACCATCCAATGTGAAGTTTGATAGCTTGGATATGCCATAAAGTTTGAGATTTTTTTTTTGAAATTTGAACTTAGTCAATGGAATAATTGTAGCCACTCAATTTCACATCGAATGGTCAAGATTGATGTCTCCTCGTACACCAAAGGTAAATGGTGTCATTCTATGCTTTCCATTTTCTTCTTTTTTTATGTTGTATCCGTGCATGGATCCAAATTTGAAATTCCCCATTAATCCCTTGAATATTCAAGGCACCCATCTGATTTTGAAATATTGGTTCTTAGAAAATCTTTTGAGGTAATTTCATAGGCATAAATTATGCATATACATGGACAGTTTATGTAACTGAACAAAGAAAGACTATGCAAATAAAATAAGAAAAAAGTTTAGGCAAACGTGAGGCCCTAGACAATCAAATTAAGGCGAATATCAAAAATTTCACTAGAAGAGGTTTTTTCGATGCTTAAAATTCTTCAAATTGATCATCTTGGCCTCAAGATGCAAGGACACGAAAAAAAATGGATCCAAAGATTGGAAATAATGCATCTTGTAATGCATTTCCGGACTGTCGATTTTTAAGTATTCATAGATCTACTCGATCTACATTGTTTTTGAAGTTTAAAATTTTATAATTAAAAATAAAAGTAAAGTTTTAAGCCATCACAAATATTTCCAATATTGAAACAGCATCTTTCGACACCAATTGAACGTGTGCCTTATACGAACCACACGCATAAAATAATACCGCATCTACAATATATTAAATGTTGAGAAAATCAGGCATATGGCATGTACGTTTTTTGAATGATAAGGAAAAATCTGATTACTTACATTCAATAGGGTTTGGTGGGAGCGGCAAGGGCGGTTGTGTATGATCGGGGGTTTGGGTGATAGCTGGGTCCTTCACTGCCAACAATTATTGGGGAAATTTTAATTATGTGGGGTCAAATGGTGGTTGTCCCGTACACATCATGTGCAGTTTGATCTTTGGAGGGGAAGGGGGGTGGGGACTACAAATTCCACATTAATATTTGAGGTTAAGATCCTCTGTGGGTTGTCATTGCCACATATTCCATTCGATTTATATTAATAAAGGGATCCACCCAACTGCTACATTAAAAGCTTAAAAATGGCTTAGGTTTGTTTCAAGTTCCAATTTAAGAAGATCGGTTACCAAAATTCAGGCGAGAAAGGTTCGAGGGAGCTGAATTACCGACGGGGCAACCGAACTCCATTCCAAGTCCGGGTCGAACTTCTGCACCTGGAAGTTTGGGTCGTGGTTTAGAAGTGTGCAGTTCGGTTGGGTTGTACTTGGGTCGAGCTAGGACCTAGTTTGGGCCTGAACCGACCCATTTTTCTCTATTAAGAACTTATATTTTACTAACTCTATAAATTAAAAATAAATATAATACATATTAGAGAATTTATATTTTCACCACTCGAACCGACTTGACTCTTGATTCATTTGACTTGGACCTCACTGAGGCTGGGTCCAATATTGGATTCGTCATGTTGTGGTTGACCCCGACTGAACACTCTTTTTTTTAGTCCCGTAGCAATGAGTCACCTCTTAAAAATTCTATTTGTGAGATGAAATTTTGGATTTAGTTTTTAAGGATATATAATCTCTAATATGGAGATTATGAATATGAAAAAATAAATAAATTGTGAAAATTAAAAAACTCTATTAAAAAAATATTTTTACCGTTAGTTTCAATTGTTTTTAGATAGACCACCTATTTGTATATATCTTTAAAATGGATGCTTTATATCTGGGGACCACATATTGTAGAAATGCGGTCCAGCCCACATGAAACAACCTTGTATTTTGTTAGGGTTAGCTAGCATCTTTTTAGATGTATAGTTGTGGTGTTTGTCCTTTCAATTTAACTAGTACTTACGTGCATATAAAAATATAAAAAGAGAGAGACGGTCTAGGAATATAAAAAGTGAGAATTAATTTTTCGTATTACGACAAAACCTATTAAGGATCCGTTCATTTTTTGGAGGGTAAGATCAATGTGTTCAATAACTCCTTCAATTTAACTAGTAGACTCA